AAATCTAGCTATAGCTCCTCCTATAGTACAAATATTTACCAAGTTTCCATTTTGTGCTGAGGACACAGGAGAGAACAAAACAGACAAGTCCCTACACTTAGGGAGGTCTTACGGTCCAGTGGGGGAAGACAGACAATGAAGACATGAAGAAAGAACTATATAGTGTATCAGAGATAAGAGACATAACACCGAGGGTAGGAGTGGGGGATATTTATTGAACATGACTGGCAGAAAAGGCCTTTCTTTTGTAAGGTGATACTTGAGCAGACACCTGAAGGAAGTGAGAGGTGAACCATGTGGCTATCTTAAAGATCATTCCAGGCAAGGAGAGAGCATGTGCAAAGATCCTGGGGTTGTGAGTTTCAATAGGAACCTCAAGGAATCACTGTGGCAGTGGACAGTGAGCCAGGGAGTAACAGGACATAAAGTCCAAAGGCAATGGGCTCCAGGTTCTTAAAGCCTTTGTAAGCCATTGCAAGAAACTATTCTTTGGCTGTAAGTGAGAAGGGAAGTCACAGATTATTCATAAGGTGGATGTTAAAGGGCTCACATTATAAAAATCTCTCTCTGGCTGCTTGCTGTGTCAAGAACAAACTATGGGGGGAAAAGCATGGAGCAGGAAGGCCAGTAAGAAAATTTTGCAATTATTCTGAGAAGTGGTGGTGGTGGCTTTGAAAAGGTGGGGAGGGAGTGGTGGGATTCTGCCAAAATTTCAAAAGCAGATTAGACAGAATAGGAGCATTTAAGCAATTCTGATTCAGGGAACCCCATACCATACTTTGAGAAGAACAACCACAGGGAAAGTGTCAGAGGGAAAGTTCATAGCTCTAGGGGCTTTACTAGATTCTATAGGGAAATGTCATGACCTTGGGCCTTGGAGTTTTAGCTGTCAGTCTCATAGGCAACAGGAGTCATATACCCCACTCAGGAGTAGGGATGAGGGCTCCAGCCCCTTTCTGTTCTGTGACTGAACACCCCTGAGGCACATCTGAAATAGTGAGGGTAAAGCCTAGCCCTCCTCTCAGGAAGGTTTGTTATGAACATCACTCTGATGGATGTGCAGTAAGTGGTCTAAGAAGATGAGGTCTGGACCCCACAATACTCGTAACAGCTGTGCACAATGTTCAGGAACCATTGTCATTATTGACTATTTTTCAAATTCTAAAACCTTTTGTCATACATTTTGCCTTCGTTTTTGAAAGATACATTTGCTATGTGTAGAATTTTGAGCCTGGAGTTAGGAAAAACACCATGAGAAAGGGAACACCCCGATGGGTGTTTATTCTGCTGGTACTCCGTCTCTCCATGGGTCTCACTGAACTTGGATGTCACCACACTCTCATCAGAACCATTACTTCACCTCCTCCTCTCAAGTGTCACTGCAACACAGACCTAAAACCATCTTTATGAGGTGAACTGACAGAAATGCCATTAAATTATTTATTGTGAGGTACAGCCATATGGCTTGTGTTTAAAGAAACTCAGCTTCTCCTCATAAAAATGGAGCTCGAAGATGAGCTTACTCTCAGTCTCAAGGGACTTCCCCTGGGAGGATAAGGAACAGATCAGGCTCATGTAGTCTGGACACAGGAAAGGGAAGAAGCCCATTTCATCGAGGGAAGAGCCCTTCTCCCAAGGCCATTTGCCTCACTTCACTAACAGTGCTCCCCCATCCATCCCACCTAACACCCCATCCTCCTCTGCTTTCTCTGTTCTCCTCCACCACCCAACAGTCTGCCCTGTGGGAAGGGATACAGGATGTGCCTCATCTAGACTCTGACTGCACTGGGCAAAACCAACCCTGACCCCATAAAAGGACAGGACTAAAGGAACTAGCATGGCTCAGTACAAATTTCAACCTTCCCCAACAATTTATTTTGTTCATTCAAATCCCAAGCTAAAGTAAATGGGAAGAAGTGAGACCCAATACATATAACACAGAACTTTTTAAAAATTGTTTTGTATTGCTAGAGGACATGTACACTCACCAGGGAGAGAGAGGGAAAAGCACACACACACAACCCCATATCTGGCATGATCACACCACAATCCTTTTTCCTCCACGTTACTATCCTGTCAGGATTTGGGGCACGTACACACACGTCTGGTAAGTTCCTCAAGCTGTTGGAATTTGAACCACATTTGGCTATGTGAGATCCAGTTCCCAAGGACCCAAGTGCTGTGCTATGAGGCTACCCCAACACAGAAACTTTTAAGATCACAATTCAGTGGACATGTAGAGAGAATGAATACACCCTCTGACTTAGAAAGTAAACCCATTGAATGCATTACTAAATCACCCAAGCGCCCACATGGCCATCTGGCTCCATGACTCTTTAAAAGTCATGGGCTAGGGCACGGTGCTGTGAATCCTCCAACAGCCTTCTCCAAGATTTGCTGCATATTCATTGTCACCATGTAACAATGAGGGCATGGGCCCCCAACTCACAGGCTGTTAGGGAATCAGATGGCCAGGCAGGAAACAACTCCTCCTCAATCTGTTTCTTCATGCGCCAAGAACTTGCTCCCTTGCTTCTTGAGTAAGATTACCTTGAGGAGACTATGAAGTCAAGAGAGTTATAGAAGTCTAGGGTTGTAAAACCATAGGTTTATTTATTTGTTTCTAAAAGGGTTTCAACCACCTAGGTCACTATTTAACTGTATATTTTTTTATTAGAGCTATTTTTCACTTTAGAATTCAGTGAAACCAAGTTATTCCCTATGAAGGCAAGTGTTGGGTTAAAAGGAATTTCTGATTTGAAACATTTTCTATATTGAACACGAATGTGTCTACTACCGCATCAGGGTGGGGGAAATTCCCCCATCTTTTCAAACAGGTTTATGACAAGGACTTCAGCCTGATCCTCTCACGGAGTGAGGGAAATTTTACATGGCAACATGTACAGGATAACAGATGTATCTGTGAATTGTGGCACAGAATTAAGCTGCGGCTATTTCTCTCTTGCTTAAGTTCTACAGAAATCCAAATGACAGGCCCTAAAGGGAAAGCATCATGTCTAATTCAACAACACCTTTCCATTTTCCAGGTAGCACATCAGTAAAGGATTGTTAAGTGTGTTCAGACCCATCTGTGTAGGCTCTGCTGGGTCTCTAATGAAAGTCTGCTGTGCCTTAAGAAGATTAAAAAAAAGAGATTTCTGACCCTAAAAGGGGCAAGTTGAGGTGGCTGCTCTGACCAATTAGGTACCTTGGAGAGGCATTAACTCTGAGGCTTCAGTGGCTCCATTTGTAATATAAAAGGTGGGACTAGCTGATGTCTAAGGTCTGCTTCAGCTCCTTATGTATGAACTCTAAAAAACAAAACTCAACATGTTCTGCATGGTCAACAGGAATCATTCTCCCTAGGAAGGCTTCAGCAATAGGATCATGTTAGGATCATGTTCGCAAAGACACTGTTACTATAACCAGAACCACTCTGGGGAAACCTCAATTAGCTATGTGTTTCTTGCACTCTGTATTTAGAAGAATTAGAAAGAAATATGAACACAATGGCCCTAGAACACTGAGAATATCTCAATTATTGAGGGACGATTACATAGAGTTCACACTACTCTATATTTAAATCAATAAAATCCACAGTCATGCTAACTGAAATGGTGGTATGGTTGATTGTTGTCTCCCCACCCCCCCCGAAAATATGTCCTTTACCTAATTAAACCAAGTTTGGCCTAAAAGAAAGTGTCCTCCCATGGAAAAAAAAAAAAGGAATTGCCAAATAGTTTTGTCCTAAGATCATGAGTACTGAGAAAAGAGTAGCTGCAATTTATTAAGCACTTACTACATTTCAATGATTTGCCTGGAAATTTTGCGTAGTAATAAGATAAAGGATTTAAGAAAAGCTCCTTTCTTTTTTTTTGGGGGGGAGAGGTTTTTGCTATAGGGTGTGTGCACTCGCCAGAAAGACATAGAGACAGAAAGCGAGAAATCACCCCCCCCCAGGGGGGATGGCCACGCTGCAGTCTCTTCTCCTCCATTCTCCTCTCAGGATCTTGGGCACGCACTCACATGTGCCCGGCGTGAGTTTAAGCCACCGGGTCCGGGACTCAAACCGCAGGTGGCTACATGGGAGTCCAGAGACATAGCCATTACACTAACTGCTGGTCCCAAGAAAGGCAGTTTTCAATGTCATAGAGAGAACTAGAAGTCTTATGCTTCACAAAGATTAAGCTGTACCTGTACTCCCACGTAGTCGACCGCGGTTTGCGTCCCGGACCCGGTGGCTTAAACTCACGCCGGGCGCGTGTGCGTGCATGCCCAAGAACCCAAGAGGAGAATGGAGGAGAAGGGATTGCAGCGTAGCCATCCCCCCTGGGGGGGGGTGATTTCTCACTTTCTATCTCTCTGTCTGTCTCTGTCTGTCTGGCGAGCACACGCACCCTATAGCAAAAACCTCTCAAAAAAAAAAAAAAAAGAAAGAATTGTAAAATCTTCTGGAAAACAGATCAACTAAGACATTGCACAAATTTGAACTGCATCAATGCATCAGTATATTTTCAACAATCTGAGGTAAGAGGTCCTGTATTAAAGATTTGCCTAATAAATGCAACTCTTTCCTAATTAACTTAGGAAAAGAAAGACATGGCTAGGTATTCATTTGGGAGTAGCTTTTCTTGGGGCCTACGTGGCTTCAGCATTTAAATCAGCTACTCTGTATGGTACGAAATGCATACTTTTCATAAATTCAATAAGCACAGCCTCAATGAAGTTTTGCACTTTCTGAAAGGAATCCCTAGGTCTAAAAAGGAAAGCAAATGTCTCCATCTGGAAAAGGACTTTTTGAAGCTTTGATAGATCAGAATAGAGCTCTCTGGGAGGTGGGAGTAAACTAAGCAACATCACTCAGACTCCCCAGGCCAACTGGCAGAACACCGAGAGACCCACTATTGTGTATATGTGTGTATATATAGAAGAACTTCAAAGATAAGTTAGCAGCTTGACAGTTTTCATAGGTATTTTGAGAGCTTTGCTCCTTTTTTATTTGGCTTCTTTAAAAGATGAATGGAATAAGGGCTTTCCGAGATTTGGGGTAGTCCTCAAACATCTTGAGGTAGAACCTAGAAGACAAGAAAGGAATAATGATAAGTGTAATGGACCAGGAGTTACACACTGTGACCACAATGGAGCTGTGTCCAAAATCTCATTACAAGTCAACCTCCAGATGGTCATTTATCCATTTTTTCCCCCTTCTTACATCCTACCTCTTATAAATGTTGAAGTTTCTTGTGTTGGAAAATAAAAAGCAATAGCCAGAGGGTAGTGGTCATGATTGTGTAGCATTACTAATTTATCTACTATAGCTGAATTTTCCACTTAAAAATGGTTAAAATAGCAAATTGTATGTTATCTTCATTGTGCCCAAATTTTAAAATGTGATAGCCATAAAGAAGTACTCATTTGGATACAGCTGAGAAATACAGAAAATCAAAGATCCCAAGGAACATGGGCAACATTAACCCAGAGAGCTGGCAATTTTCCCAGGGAAATATCCATCTCTTCATGAAGCCTGAAAATGCCAAGAAAAATGTTACCTTGTATATTACAAAATGAATTTTGTTCCCCAAACAGATGTGTTGAAGTACCTGAGGATGAGACCTCTTTTAGGAACTAGCATCATGGCAGAAATAATTAATGAAAATGAGATCATACATTTTCGTACGTAAGGGTAAGATGGGCCCTTAATCCAGTATGTCTGGCATCCTTACAAGAAGAGAAGAGACATAAAAATAGAGACCCATAGTAGGGACGGCCATGTGAAAACAGAGGCAGAGATTAGAGTGATGCAGCTACAAACCAAGGATTTCTGGCTACCATGGGAAGCCAGGAAGTGCAAGGAAGAAGTCATACCTAAAGCCATCACAGAGAGCATGGCCCCGCTCTCATCTTGATTTCAAACTTCAACTTCCAGAATTGAGAGAGCTAATTAGTGTTGTTTTAAGCCACACACTTTATGATTATTTGTTGCCTAATATATCTTGTAAATTGTATGTCTCCACTTAATATACACCGAGTGTCTGCACTCTATGACTGAAACCAATTGACTACAGGATATAGAAACACAGTAAATGGATGTAAATACCAGATATAGTGTGTGTGAAAGAGGAGGGTCCAAGGAAGGTCATTTAGAAGAAAAATAGGGAGGCAGAGCATTAATGGGACAAAGAAATGTGGTCTTATCTGTTGAAGATAATTTATAGTTTTATCAATTGTACTAGGGAGAAATATTCACCTGTTGAAATATCCATTTTGCAAGCCAAATAATGTGATTGAATGTATAAAAGAAAATGAAATAAAAAAGAAAAAAATTTTAAATTTTAAAAAAAGTTTTTAAAAATTAATAAAGACATCTACAAAATTTAAAAAAAAAAAAAAGGTAAAAGCCTTCCTCCCTAAGTTACCAGACTGACTTCTTAAGTATTGATAGTTGAGTTTGGTAGCCCTCAAGTCATAATCAAGATAACACACTCTGGTAAAGTGCCCTAGTTTGAATTGGGGGGCATATAACAATATATTCCAAGAGGTGGCTGATATTGGAGAAGCCCAGTGAGCTGCCTCTGCATGTGCTACCTACCATCATGAGGTCTCAGTTTGAATGTTGTTATTGCACCAGCTGAAAATTCTGGTGGAATTACTGTCCCTCCCTTCACCAAGCATGACAGAGCCCACACCTTTCAGGGAACCTCTGGGTGCTCCATGATGCCCTCACTCCTCCCATCCCCTCTGTGCTTCTGGTGAGCAATCAACTGGGCCTAGAGTGGTGAGAACTGTCACACTAACTCTCTTATGTGTTAGGAACCCTCTGCCACCCTTCCCTCCAGCCTAGGAAGTGACTGGAATAGGTTGTAAGAGAGTTACAAAGCTGAAAAAGTCATTTTAGGGAAAGGATCCGAAATTCACACTCAGGCTTAAAGCCTGGTAACAACTTAATAGGTTACCCCTTCCCTTTCAGCAATAATTTTAGTTAACTCTTTTGTCTGCATCACACCCCAGCTTAGAAGAGGAAAGAGGAAAGTAGGGGTTAGTGAAGGTTCAGACTAGACCTTCAGGTCAGATTCTAAATGCCTGCAATTCCTAGCATTTCCCAGCAGGTGGGGCAGTCTTAGAACTGCACCACACACACAATTGCTGTCCTACCCTCTCAGGAAGCCAGTGACAGCCTTGACTATGAGTTGTGGAGGGTGAGGATGAGGAAATAGGGCAGTACACAAATAAGCTGTGTTATACCCAGTTCCCAGGGAAAATATTCCTTCTACAGTTTCCAGGGCTCTGTGATTACCTGAGCTGTTAGCACCAAGACTCAAGTTAAAATAGTAGCCACACAGCCACTGGGCTAGGGCTTTTCTCTAGGGGTTCTCTACCCTAACTAAACCTCAGAGTTATCTAGGAAGCCTTGAAAATGCGGGTCATGGTCTCACCCATGGTACACATCTCAAGAAATATGGTGGGGAACCAGCAGTTAGCGTAATGGCTATGTCGCTGGACTCCCACGTAGTCGACCGCGGTTCGTGTCCCGGACCCGGTGGCTTAAAACTCACGCCGGGCGCGTGTGCGTGCGTGCCCAAGATCCCGAGAGGAGAATGGAGGAGAAGGGATTGCGGCGTGACCATCCCCCCTGGGGGGTGATTTCTCGCTTTCTGTCTCTCTGTCTCTCTCTGTCTGTCTGGCGAGCGCACGCGCCCTACAGTGAAAATCTCTCAAAAAAAAAAAAAAAAAAAAGAAAAAAGAAATATGGTGGAAGGAAATTGAATTGGAGCACAGAAGTGGAAGTTACTTTTTTCACTGTTGGACTCTTACCTATAGCTTACTGCCAAGCAGTAACCACCACCAGGTGAGTCTGCCAGGAGGACCAGCTAACTCGTGTGGACACCAGGTGCTTCCTCAATAACAGAAGCAGAATGGCTTTCCAAAATTTACCCCATGAGCTTCTGTCCACACACGCTTATGTTTTGCTCTTCGGAGAAGAAAAATATGTTATGGCTACTGTCATCCAGCTTAACTCCAACTTCAATAAAAACCTAAAAAGTCAGATTTACCAGTCCAGATTTTTGTATCGCTCTTTCCTTGTACAAATAAACATGTTAGCTTTCTAAGTCTGACCCCATGTACCAAAAGTCTGTTTGGAAAACAAAGCTACAGGGATGCTGCCGCCTTTAATGAAAACTTACCTATGATGGTGAAAAGCTCGCAGCCCAAGGAAACAAAGGGAGAAAAATGCAAATGCAAGTGCTGGGAGGGACCAACTGGCCACGGCATAGCCGATCCATTCAATGATCTCGCCAAGGAAATTGGCTCCAGAAACATACGTGAACAAGCCACCTGCATGCAAAAGAATCAAAAAGGCAATAGAACTGAACCATTGTGACATTAAACCCCTCTGTTTTGTTCCAAAATATATAAAGACAGCTAGATGTATTACGGCGAGTTTGATAGAATTCCCTTAGGGAAAAGGGAAAACAGAGCAAAGATAGCCTCTTTCTCTTAGAACTTCTGGAATTGGGAGAAGTGGTCCTAATTGCTTGATGGGTTCTATCCAAATTTCTAACAACAGTGTGACCACTAGCTTTGGGCAGGACAAGGATGAGGGATAGGAGCTCTGGGTTTGGTTTCTTTCCATTAAGCAATACTTTCAGGTGGCCTCTTGCCTTCCTACTCCTTCCCTGGACACACACACAGCCAGTCAGCATTTTCCACATTCACAATCACACAAAGTAAATTGAGGTGAGAACTTATTAGAATGTGTTTTGGCATTTACCACCACCACCCTGCCCATATACACACCCCTCCTATACTCTGCTCAAGCTTAAAGAAAGAGCTGGACACAGGTGCAACAGTGAGAGTGCGAAGCTCTGTAGGCCACACCCACATGGGAAGGTTGCCAGTTTGTGGAACCTCCCTGAGTATGCTGGGCACCCACAAGCCCATGACTCAGAACTGGCTAAAGCTGAGAGTAGATCACGGCGTTAATACCCTATCAGGGGTTCTTGCTCACTCTCTAAATAACTAAATAAATTTCTTAAAAAAAAAAAATGTTTAAAAGGCCAACCTCATTAGCCTACTGGTTAAAGGAGTCAGATCCTGCATGGTCAGTTACAGTTCGAATCCCAGTTCCAGTGGTCTGAAAAACATACCAGGAACATGTGTACGCATGCCCAAAATCCTAACAGGATGAAGAAATGAAGGAGAAGGAATTGCAGCGTGACTCTGCTCCATTGGGGTGTGCTTTCTCCCCACCACTACCCTCTCTGGCAAACATACACAACTCTCTGGCAATAAAAAATATGAAGAAGAAAAAGAAAAAGTTTAGAGGCCAGCAGGTGACACAGTGATTAAGGCACTGGACTCCCATATGGCCTATTGTGGTTTGAGTCCTGCACGCTGTCTTAAAACTCACACTGGGTGCATGTGCACACATGCTCAAAATGAAATCCCAAGAGGAGAAAAGATTGTGGCATGTCCATCCCCTCTGGGGAATGACTTCTCACTTTACCTCTCTCTCTTACTGTCTTTCTCTCTCTGGTGAGCACATGTACCCTAAGGTAAAAAAAAAAAAAAAAAACAAGAAAGAAAGAAAGAAAGAAAGAAAGAAAAAAGAAAATAAACAAAAATAAAAAGTTTAAAGAAGGAAATAAAGGCTCAGCTGGTGGTATGGTAATTAAAGCAGTTATATCCTACATAATTGGCTGTGTCATTCGAGTCCTAGACCCAGCAGCTTGAGAAACATCACAAAAGCATATGTGCATGTGTGCCCTAAGTCCCAAAAGGAGAATGGAGGAGAAGGGATTGTAGCATGGCCAACTCCCCTGAGGATGCTCGCACTCGCTCGCTCTCTCTCTCTCTCTCTCCCTCTCTCATCTCTATGGGGAGTGCACACACCCTGTAAAAACTTTTCCAAAAAAAAAAAAAAAAAAAGAGAGAGAGAGAGAGAAGAGAGAAAAAAAGAAAAAAGAGAGAGAAAGAAAAAGAAAGAAAGTAAAGAAAGGAAGGAAAGAATAAAAGGAAGAAAAAAGAAAAGAAAAGATAAAAGGAAAGAAAGAAAGAGAAAGAAAAAAGAAAGAAGGAAGGAAAGAAAGAAATAAAAATAAGGAAAGAAACAAATAGAGCTACAGGCATGTGTCCTGGTGGGGTCTGCTTCTATTGATTTTACAGGTTTTGTTTTCTATCCTTCCAAGTAAAATTTCTCCAGAACTGTATAAAGAAATCAGCACATTTCTACACTAAAATTTTATGATCCATATTAAACTAGGGAAGTTCAGCCAGAACTATTTTTCTTTCAACAGTAATATAAAAAATATTTTATTTTTAAATCATTCTCTATCATAACTCAGAAGTTGGAAACCGTGGCAATCGGTTTAATATGTACTTTCTCTGCTCTTCATTACTTGTCTAGTTAGTGAATGAAGATGTAAAAACCTCTAAGCTCTCTAACATTATCCTCCTTTAGGATGACATTCTATCAGTTGAACTTGAGCTAAAATTCTCCAAAACCTGGGAAGAACCATTGACCTATTGCAAGGTGTCTATAAACTGTCTATGAATACAATGAATGGTATATCTGAACCTACCATATTTTTTTTCTTGAAGTGGATACTATTAAATTATAAACAACATTTATGTTCATTTAAATGTGTTACTAAATTCATAGTAGCTTTGCGATTATTTTCTAAATCAATGCATATTAATCTGTACTGTGTTAATAAATCAGAAAATTTTTTATGTAAAAGGTTGTTTTACCTCAAAAAGAATAGGAACCACTGACCTATTAATATATGAATACCCAATTAAATATATAGAAGAGTTCATTGGACTGATTCACTCCCATTGGCTTATTTTTTTACTTTATTTTTTTATGTATGTATTTTATTATTTTTATTCATATATTAAATTGCTGTACATCATTTAGATTGTGAAGAGACTTTACCCAGCATGATATACACCTCAGTCCAGCCCAGTTGAGACCACCATACACATCCTTGTCAACAGATAATAAACCTTATCTATGTCCCACAAGGGTCTTACCTCTCCATTTTCCCCCCAAATTTCCTACTTGGCTTATAATTGTCAACTTCATACCCTTGTTTTTTGGGAACAGCTAGGATTTCAAATAATCTCTGCCTTTATCTCCAAAAATGTACCTGTATTCATAAGATCTTCCATCTTAACTTTTGATTTAGTAAATACCATTTTCCTCACTTCTAAGAGTATAAAAGCAGCTGGAAATATTACCCTTAATGACTCACTAGATAGGTCTACACCAATTGGAGAGGACAATTAGTCCTTGGGATTCAGCTTCATTCACTAATCTAGAAAGGTTTACACTCTCAGTACATGACAATCTTATCTACTGCAACTATTCCCACCCTACCTGAATTTCAAATTCTCTTTCAATTTTAGAGTATTGTGATCTTGTATCTTCCCTAGCAAGTGCTCTTCTAACTCTCCTGAGCTGAACAGAGTAAAAAATGCAGGTGAACTGTGGTGGGACAAGGTATAAAGGGGAAGGCAAGAGCAATTTAGGGAGTCTTGTATCTTTTGCGCTCCACTACTCCTCCACTTGTTCCTTATAGTAGAATCCCTAGGACAGGATGTAAGGAAGTCTGGGAATCCGGGGAGCAAGGTAGGCATTACCTTCTGGAATCCTGTAGATGACTTCTCCAGGTTTCCTGAGCTGGCGCAATATCCAGTCACTATGAATGTTGATTCCCATTCCCAAAATAAATAAGAACACACCTTGGCAAAGAAGAGAGAAGGAAGATGTTTAAAAATATGTCCTGCTGTTGGTGTTTTTCTCTCAACCTATGCTCTTGTCTAAACGTGAAGGAAGGGACATTTCATTTCTCAATCCAAGGATAATAGCAAGATATAGCAAAAAAAAAAAAAAAATTAAAAAGGGAGGGAGGCAACTAGCCCCAGGCCCCAGTTTTGGTGGAAGAGAGGTTGTGCTGTGTCCTAGAACAAAAAGCTAAAAGCACACAGTGACAAACAACGGAGACAGGAGAGGAAATGAATGAATAATAACAAGTCCTTGGCTCATCTACAAAATTAAATCATGGATGGCTGACTCAACCACAATCCCAATCCTTTCCCCTTTTCCATCCACTACTATAGAGCTGGGAGATTGAAAAGTGGTCACATGACCTAGTCCTCCCAATAAGATGTAAAGGGAAGTCTTTGGGGGACTTGCTTGGAAACTTTTTGCTTTTCTGATAAAGAGGGCAGATGGATCAGATACCGTTACTCCCTCTTTTCTCCTGCTTTGATTCCAAGATGGTCATGCCTTGAGCTACAGCCACTGCCTTGCACTCATGAAGTAACTAACATGAAGACTACACTCAGGTAAATCTGAGGGAACTTTGAAAAGTTCAGGGAAAAAATGAAGTTAAAATAAAGATTATTTTGCTGCAAAAATATTTGAAATCCATGCATAGCTTTTTCTTGATATGCATTTTCTGTGAACTTTTTTGAAGACCCCTACCCCGTCAGATACGAAGAGTCATGGAGAGAGACAGTGCCTGGGTTTTTCATGGTATTGAAAGAAACCAAAGAAATGTTGAAACAACTTACCTTTGGACACTTCTCATTATGTAAGAAATATGAATTCTGCATTGCTTAAGTCGCAATTAGTTGGCGACTCATTGTTGAGCACATTCCTGGCTGGTACACCACGTTCATGACAGTAATACAAACTAGACTATAGGGCTTGGCAAGGAGCAAACTAGTTTCTACCACTGCCAGTCCACACACATGCATTGTTACACGAAAAGTGGCATACTGCATGTACTGGTTGCACACTTATCTATTTTAGTTAATCACATGTCCTGAAGGTGACTCCACATGTACCATCCACTGGTACAAAAAGGGCCATGTCTGAGATGAGGACAACCAGGGTCAGGGATGCTAGGCACTGCATCCTAATGAGCATGGCCCAGAAACTGTGGCCCAGAAACACTCTGTCTCACACAGAGGCCCAGTCTTACCTCTCAACCAAATATATTTGTGCTAATCAAAATATATCAGCCAAGGGCTTGCTCTGTTGCTCCATGACTAAGGGAGTTCAATCCCACATGGAAGACCATGTAGTTTGAATCCCAGCCCCAGCAGCTTGAAAACTACACCAGGTGTGTGTGCTTATGTGCCTAAAATCCTGACAGGATGGAGAAATGGAGGAAAAAGAATTGCAGCATGACCACTCTCCATTGGAGTATACTATTGCCTAAATAGGATCTGATTTCTGTTTATTGGTATTGTAAAAGAAATATATATGTTGTATACCAAGCACTAATTTTTGGCAATAGGGAAATGAAAACACCAGAGCCAGCAGGTGACATGGAGGTCAAGGCACCGAGTCCCATATAACTAGCTTTGTGATTCCAGTCCCAGACCTGGCAACTTATGAATCACAAGTGTGTGTGTGTGTGTGTGTGTGTGTGTGTGTGTGTTCCCAAAATCCCAAGAGGAGAGTGGATCTGGTGAGTACACATGTCCTACAGCAAAAGCTAGAAAGAAAGCAAGCTAGAAAGCAAGAAAGCAAGAAAATCAAGACATCTATTCTTACCACCCAGATATTACTACCACTATACACCTTAGTGAGTAACTTTCCAGATTTTCATTTTATAAAGTATTCATGGCCATATTCCTCAGCTGTCCCCTAAATGCCTCTCTTTTTTTTCCTTCCTTTAAAGAGATTTTTTGCTCTAGGGCACATGCACTTGCCGAGAGACAGAGAGAGACAGAGACAGAGACAGAGAGACAGAAAAATGAGAAGTCACCCAGGCAGACGGCCACATGACAATCCCTTCTTCTCCATTCTCCTCTCAGGAGCTTGGGCACACATGTACACATGCCCGGCGTGAGTTTGAAGCCTCCAGGTTCGGAACACAAACCATGGTTGACTATGTGGGAGTCCACTGATGTAACCATTATGCAATCTTACAGGGGGTTTGTGCAAACCAAGGTCCAGAATAGGACCATACATGGTATCTGGTTATTATGTCCTTTAAGGCTTTTGTTGTTGTTAGAGACATTTTTGCTATAGGGCACGACAGACCTGCTGACCACTTTAAGGCTTTTTTAATGTAACCCAGACCCCTGCCTTTTTGTTCCTTTGGGGTTTTTTGTTTGTTCATTTGTTTTCCTTCAGGACAGTGATTTGATGAAGGGATAGATAGTTGTCATTCAGAATGTTCCCTGTTCTAGATTCAATTAGCTTACTTTCTCATGGAGGAATTCAACTTGTTTCTTTACCCATTATGTCTCCAATAAACACATAAATCATTTTCTTATGTAGTTATATTACCAGTTTAATATGCAGTAAGGTATACTTGTGTTTTCCAATTTTAGAGAACAGAACTTTTCTTCAACTTAGTTTTTAAAACTAGATCATGAAAAGGGCTGGCAAGTGGCTTGGTGGTTAGAGCCACTGGACTCTCACATGGCCAACCACGGTTCAAGTCCCAGACCTGGCATCTTGCTTTCTCACTTTCTCTCTTTCTCTCTCTGTCCCTTTCTCTGGCCACATTTTAAAAAAATAAGTAAATAAATAAATAAAGTTAAATAAAATAATTATTATTTTTTTTAAATTAGGTAATGAAGTTTTATGAATCAAAGAACAAAACTTCATTAAAAGAAAAGTTCTGGGACCCAGCAGGTGGTGTGGTGTTTAAGGCGATAGACTCCCATATGGCCAACTGTAGTTCAAGTCCCAGACCTACAGCTTGAAATTCATACCAAGTACATGTGCACATGTACTTAAAATCCCAAGAAGAGAAAGGATGGCATGGCCATCTTCCCTGTGAGGTGATTTCTCACTTTCCCTCTCTCTTTCTATGGTGAGTGCACATGCCTTATAACACACACACACACACAAAAAAAAAAAAAAAGAAAGAAAGAAAGAAAGAAAGAAAGAAAGAAAGAGAAAGAAAAAGAAGAGAAAAAGAAAACTGCCCATGGATGTAGACTCACTCTTATAGGTGGTTTGTGCAAACCAAGGTCCAGTGTAGAACCACACACGGTATCTGGTCATTATGTCCTTTACCCCATTACAGATAGAGAAACTTTTTATTCATTTCTTATTTATAATTCTATGATTTTTCTTGTCTAGTTATACATATACACACACATTTTCTTTTATCTCATTCCTGTATAAAAAGTATCATACAACTGTTCACACATTAATTTATTTTTATTTAACTCTATATCTTGGAGGTGTCATCACATGAGTGCACAGATCTTCCTTTGTTTGTTCATTCTTTCTTTCCTTGGAAGTTATAGAATACTGTATTGGGTGCATGTACTGGTAGTCATGAAACTAATCTTCTGACCTTTCGTGTTCGCGATGTGTGTAGAATGAGTTATTGAAAGACAGGCATGGAGGTAAGAAGCTCAATTTGAAGATTATTGTAGAAGTCCAGGCAAGAGGCAACTGTGGCTTGGATTAGAATGAAGTGAGGGAGCAGGGCCCAGTTGGCACATGTTTTGGAGATAGAGCCAGAATTACTAAGTTAATGGGTAGGATATGTTCTGTGATGCTAAGAGCAATTAACAATAGTACCTATTATCCTATTATTTTGATTTGAACCAAAATGCTGTCCAAAGAATTGAATGTTTCTATACTTCAGCTCATTAAAAACAAGCAGAAAACTCAAAAATCACTGTTTTCAACTATTTTAGTTAAGGTAGTCAAAAGACTCTCTGAGAAAGTGAAAATTGGTAAAAATCTAAATAGACTGAGAGACCAAGCTCCATGATTATATAGAGAAGTAGAGCATTCCAAGCAGAGGGAGTACTACTGTACAGCAGTGCTAGGACAGGACAAAGTGAACAATTTCTGGTATACCAGGGGAAGGACTGATACTACAGCACAGGAAAGGAGGTAGAAGGAGGGAAAGAAGGTGGTTGGAAAATCTGAAGGGTTAAGAGCATACGGGTCTTACAGGCAATGCTAAGGAACCTATATTTTGTATTGAGAGTAAGGGAAATTTATCACAATTTTGAGATGAGAAATGGCATGATATGTTTTTAAACAATCTCTGGCTTCTATATAAATAAAAGACCAGGAGGAAGTGAGAGAAAAGGAGAATGGGATCTTTAGGAGGTTACTGCAATAGGCTGGGGAAAGGTGATGATAACTGGGAGGTGGTAATGACTTAGTCTTGGAAGGAGTGTTGCTAGAACAACTGAGAAATGGCTTGATTCACTTACCAAAGCTAAACCGGATATCTGTGTACCACTCCTCAGGGTATTCGGCACAGTAGGTCAGATAGTAGCCTTGAAGAACTCCATTTCCGATGCAGAAGACAATACCTCTGAAAAGGAGGACAGCTGGAAAAGGCCTCCCTCTGGTGAGCAGCGAATAAATAAATGTTCTGGAATATATTGGGGTGGGGGGGGGGGGGGGG